TCTTTCTGCAATTTGAGTCGAGTCACATGGGTCTTTTTGCTATTAGAGTTAAAATCACATGGGTCTTTTGCAATTGGTGATTAAGTCGTGCCTTCCAATAATGTATGCCTCATTTTCTCAATTAATAAAAATGCATTGTGAGATGGGAAAACCATATTTTAGGGCTGAGAGTCCTTTAGTTCAAGACATACCATTAGTTTTTAGGGTTTATAAATACAAGTTTTGTCTCCCTTCTCTCTTCCAATGACTTTACATGTTAGCTTCTATTTTTTTCTTTCGAATTATTTACTGTGCAAGATTTTGTCGGTGTCTCCGCAGTGCTTCTGCCGTGTCGAATATGTGTCCGATATAAATAAAAAGCTAAAAAGGTGGACCTGGTACTTCGCGAGTCCGATACGTGCCCGATGCGACGGTGAGTGTTGGTATCTGATATGTGTTGTTACGTGTCCCTATAACTTATAAGATGAAAAGGAGTTATTTATTTTAGAAGAGATAGGGAAAGGGGAATGAGTTCTTCCGATTCCCTCTTCACAGGGAATGCATTTCTTCCCATTAGATTTTTGAGATTCCATAATGCATTTTGTAGCTCTTATGCTAGTTTTGAGTTTCTGAGGGAGGTGAAGGACGAGGAGGTAAATGCGATAGTGTGAAAAATTAATTGATTTACTGATAACACATGATGGAATGCCAAGCATTCTATGCTTTACTTGATAATTTTGTTTATTTAATCAGGATTGCAACAGTTATTGTCCATTTCTTTATTTTGTATAATAAACAGAATTTGAGAGTAACTTCTTCCCTATTATTGTACAAGATGTGCGTGATTTCTAAGCGATATGTGGATATATTGGCAATTTTGACACAATATCCTATTTAGCTCTCACAGTACAAGTTGTGATTGCAGCTTCAGGTTGATGGAGGTTTCAATCAGGATCTAAATTCAAAGGCCTTGTCGGCTCCAAATCTTAGCGCATTGGATTTTCCTTCATGTTCAGGAACAGAAGGTCAAAATGGCTTGCCAAAGTTTTCTAATGATGATCTCCAGCAAAACAGTAGTCCTTATCAGTCTTTAGAAAAAGAAAGTACACTCTTACTCAGATCTAGTTCTTCCAGAGGCGCTATAGATTTTGCTTCTGCCGTCAGGAAAATGGCACCTCAAGATTCTAGCATTTGGAAATATGGTACAAATGGTTCTCCAGGCACCAGCATAGGATCAAGTAGAAGTTCACAAATGCCCACGAGCTCTTACAACAGTAGCCAGGGGAGAAGTATTTATGTCGACAGGTTGCAAAATAGGGGATCAGCTCGTCCGGCCCCTGCCTGGCTTGAAACTGGAGAAGCAGTTGGTAATATTTTTGAGGCAATAAATTTCACTTGTTCTGCAAAACTTTAATTGCAGAACAAATGCTTTTTGTATGTGTATATGCTTTAACATTGTTGAGATGGCAGCACATATGTATTCTGAAATGCGGGAGGAAGCTCGTGATCATGCACGCCTACGTAATGCGTACTTTGAACAGGTATGCCATTTGATAGACATATAAAATTGGGAAAATGAAAAGAGTGAGAAATGAAGAATGATATCTTCCTTAATTTGCGTTCTCTATTACTTTTATTAAGGCGTTTGACTTGGTTTTCTTTTACTCTTATGCGTGGTGGGGACCACAATGTACAATGTGCCACTTTGATAATATGTCATTCTACTTTGAGAGTAATGCACTTCTATGGAACATTGTGTTTGATTATGAGCATGTTTGTCTACCCTTAACAGTTCACTTAATAAGTAAATGAGTGCAGTGTCAAAGTAAAAAAATTATTTATTAGTCAAATTTGAAAATAATTAAGTTGCTTAAGTAGTTGACATTAAGGAAAGAGTTACTTCTAAAATAAATAGCTTATTTTACTTAAATGTACAATAAAGTGCATATAAAAAATATTAGAAACCAAAAGTAATTCACTTCATTTATTTAAAAGTAACTTTTACTTTTCATGTAATGTTAGTGAAACATGCATATGTATTGTGGAAAGAAGTTTCAATGTTGTACACTTCTCTAGTCACTGTTTCCACTTCCTTGCTGTGAATACTAGTGAAATGTTCATCGGTCTTGAACAACATTTCATCTGAGTGCTGCACCTTCTAATTCTACTCTGAGAGATAAATTTTATGTGGAGAGAGTATGATATTTGACCAAGCTCTCTCTCTTGGTGTGCACGTGTTGGTGTGTTTGAGCACCCATGTGCTCACTTTTAAGAGTATAAGCAATTGTCCATTTGTGTGTCGGCACCCCATAATTCGCATCTCCTTACACTTATCCTTTAAACTTGTTATATATGGATTGAAGAGTCATAATTTGTTTCGTTATGGATTTGGTAGATTGGCCTTTGGCTTAAAACATGCTGCCTGCACGTGTTAATGGACTTGTCGATACTTATCTTCCCCCACCCCGCCTTATCCCTATTAAGACTGAAGATCTATTGAAGAAAAGGAAAATAATGAAACCTACACGACTTTGGGGATTGGCAACCCTCATGCCATGGATCATATATTTTATTGAACTCTGCTTGGCAGAACTACCATGTGAAGTTTACTTTGAATGTATGTAAGCCTTGGTGAATTGCCACGTCTTTCTTTGTGTTTGATCTATGTCCACTGAAATTTTTGTGTAAGATTAGGCACGACAGGCATATCTCATTGGTAATAAGGCTTTAGCCAAGGAGTTGAGCATTAAAGGGCAGTTGCACAACATGCAAATGAAGACAGCTCACGGGAAAGCTCAGGAATCTATTTATCGCCAAAGGTTTGATTTTGTGGATCCATACCTGCACTTAAACTGTCATTCATGTCAAAAGTAATTAAAAGAGGGCCAAAAGATGTACTAGCAGAAGACCATAAAGAAAATATTCCACATCCTAGAGATATAATCCTTCTATATTTTTACTGTTAATTCTTATATTATTTGGTGGGCGCAAACTCCATCCCGTGGACGCATTTTCTGCCTCTAGCAAATGTTTTTTCCTTTTTTTTTATTCTGGCATTGTGGGTGTGGGGGGACTTCTTGGAATTGTTCGGCAGCCTTTTGGGCTTTGATGTCATTGTGGGTGTTCAATTATTTTGCAGGAATTCGGAGATGCAGGGAAACGGGAGAGAGAAAATGATTGATCTGCATGGTTTACATGTGAGTGAAGCTATTCATGTCCTAAAGCGTGAGTTGTCTGTAATAAGGAATGCAGCAAGGTTGGCAAACCAGCGCCTGCTGGTTTACATATGTGTTGGGACTGGCCACCACACTAGGGGTTCCCGTACTCCTGCTCGACTTCCTACTGCTGTTCAGCGCTACCTGCTTGAGGAGGAGGGCCTCGAGTTCTCTGAACCACAGCCGGGGCTCCTTCGAGTTGTTATATACTGAGTCAAGATGGTATAGGAGTTTTTGACAGGCATCATAACCCAGGAAATCAATCAATCACCCAAAAAAAATGAAAAAAGAAAATTTGTTGTATCTGTAAATGGGAAAATCTGGAGTAGGACTACTCAGGACAAGAAAAAAGGTAGAACAAAAATGAAGGATGTTAAAAAGAGGGGGGGAGTTAGAAATCTGTGTTGTTAATGTTTAGTTGGCCGACTTCAAATATACACCTTTTCATGCTGCATCGGCCTCTTTTTGTAATTTTGTAACTTCATTTTTTTTGCCTTCTGGTTTCATTTTTTTAACTTGCAGATGTAAAACTGATAGAGTTCGTTTTACATATAGCTCAAATTTCATCCAGCCTTTTGGAGTTTTCATACGGCTAGATGTTTCTAGTTTTGGGTTTTCATTTCAGGTTGCAGTTTTACTAATAATCCGAACTGATTGTAGAGAGTCTGGAATGATATGCTCAAGGCCTTGATCGGTCCAGGGTTTGTGGCGGCTGTCGAGTCGGACTTGATCTGAACTGTTGAATTTCTCATTGACTTTATGCCTGTTACAAAGTCGATTGCTTTGTTTGGCTTAGCTTAAAAATGTGTGTTGCGGCGTCCTAACTAGTTGGCCATCTACTTCCACGGCAGACTGCGCAGGGGTTCTGGGCCGGTTAGCCTACTGGTTGGCTTATCGTAGAAAATTGTACATTTCATTTCTAACCTTCAAATATTTTATTGACACCATCCGTTCTCGATCTTTCAAAAATGAGTAGACAATCCCTTTTCACGGTTTCCGTCCATTTTAATCGTAAAGGTCATGTGAAATGGTAAATTCTCTCCTTAAAAAAAAAAAAAAAAATTGGTGTCCATAATGGATACTCTTATGTATTGTGTATTACATAGCATTTCTTATAATGATATTCATTATGGACACATGGAGGCTCACACGCCCCCTCCAATAGGGGACCTCCATGTGTCAATTATCGATGTCCTTATGTATTATGTATTGTGCTATGGTCTTTTTACATTACCTCATTTAAAATAATTAATTTTATAAAAATAATAAATAATTTTTTTAATAAAGTTGAATGTATCATCTTCTTCACCCATGCCAATGTTATCATCATCGAGTGCTCCCACCTCATTTTCAAGCATTATCGTCGACATCAGACTGCAACCCACAAGTAAAGTTAAAAAACTGTCATCTTCTTCGCCCATGCCAATGCTATCTCCGTTACATCCTCCCACCTCATTTTCAAGTGCTAACGTCGACATTAGACTACCATTTGCCTCCCATTTGATTTCGCAGTGAGACCAAAAATAGAGATATGGTCTCACATGCAAAATTAGACCAATCTTTGGTCTATTTTTATGACTTGGTATACAAACGCTTAGGAATTTCAGTTTAAAAAAATGGTTGTCAAATCGTTTTAGTAAAGTTTAGTAGTGCCTGAAACAAATTAAAGTTTAGTGGCTATAGACATACAAAGTGAAAAGTTCAGGGGCCACAAGTGAAATAAACCAAATGTTTGTCTTAGATGCTGCTGATTTGGAGATAGTTATCGAGGATTTTGACAAGTAGAGCTCGAAGAGGAAAACGAAGATGGCTTCTGCTTCTACGTCTCTCGGTATATCCATTGCACTCCACTGTACAACTTCCCACAAAGAAACCCTATTTCTAGGCCGTCCCAGAACCACTATAACCAATCCTATCTTGCCACGTCATCCCTCTTACCGCACCTCTGTCCTTTCTTTTTCCCGCCGCCGCCGGAACACCTCCGCCCCCTCTCCCATTGCTTCCAAGAAAGTCAACAAGGTATTCAAAAAATTAAAAAAATAAATAATAAAACTTCAATTCTATTTTTAGTTGGGAAGAAAAATAAGAAATAGAGAATAAATGGGGAGTTGGGTTTTGATTTCGCGTTTTAGAATTTTAGCTGTGAAATTTTTTACATTTATTGAGAGCTGGAAATATATAAAAATATCTTTTTCTTTTTTTTTTTTTACAAATGCATTTGGTTGAAATATGCATTTAACTTGTGTAATGGAAGTAAATAAATTTTTTTGTTTTTGAGGGAATTAATTTATTTTGTGGCCTTTTGAGTTCCATTCTGGACATAAATGTATGCATGTAGTCGTGTTTGTGACTTACAGCAATGCTTATGTGTAGATACCAGTGTTCAATAACAATGAATCAGTGATGATGAATATTGGTTGGTTTGGTAGTAAAGATAATCATTGGTTTTTTTGGGACATGATTTTGTACAGAAAAAATTGACTCACAAAAAGGTCGAAGAAGATGATAATATAGATGAAGATGCCTTCGATGCACTTTTCCACATGCTTGAAGAAGACTTGAAAAATGATAATTTATCTGTAAACGATGGTGAAGGCGATGATATAACTGAGGAAGATATGTTGAAGCTCGAGCATGAATTAGCGGAGGCTCTGGCAGATGATGAATTATTAGGAGCGCTTGCTTCTACTGTAGGTGGAGAAACTGAGAATGAAGTTGAAGAAGAAGATGATGGTGGCGATGAAAATGAAGGGGAAGGTGAAGGCGACGATGATGAAGAAGAAGAGGAAATGCCTTTAAATCTTAAGAATTGGCAACTTAGGAGATTGGCATATGCTCTGAGAAATGGTCGGCGTAAGACTAGTGTAAGTTATTTTTTACTAATATTCTGTAGGTTGTACTTGTTAATTGTTGCAAATGCATACCCACTCGTTGGTTGTAAACTTTATCTTTCGCATATGCGTACAAATCAGAGCACCGAGAACCATTATTTTTTCTCTACTTCATGTGCAATATGATTTTAATTATGTAATAATAGTTCCAAACTGAGTAAAACAAGGAGCAGAAACTTTCTATTTAGTCATCAAATTTCTGATGTTTACTTTTGTGATGATTGTACTCTCTTTTTCTTTCTGAATATGTGGATATTGATATGCAAATTAAGGTCATCAAGGCATATTAGTTTTCTGTCTGGTTTTAATTGGCATACTTGAAAAAAGAAAAAAATTACCTATATTGGCTCGTACATTTTTAGGATGTGATCTTTGTTAAAGGAATGAGTATTGATTGAATCCAAACTAATCTACTTCATTTTGCATAAGCTGCTTCTCTGTTACAAAAATATATGTATATATCAAAGATCATGATAGAAATTTCATGTCAAGAGCGACCGGATGGGATGAATCAAGCATTTGGAAATGTGTATTGTGAAAAACTTCAAGTTATCATTATTTCCAATCTCGGTTAAATGCATATCCGACTTTGGACAAAAGTTGATATTCTTATTAGTAATTTGCCTATAAATTGATGTTTGCAACATTTCATGTAACCTTTTTTTATTTTAATCATCTTTTGCTCGCGCGTCTTCCATTATCTTCTGTAGTTATATCTTTCTTAATTAAACACAATTCCCATATAGCAATATAATTTGTTTTTTCTTAAGTTATTGGCGATAACTTTCAAAAGCAGAATATTCAAATTGTAGAAGGCTGTGCTTTTAATCTTTGTACAGTAATATACTCCCGATGAATATCCCTCTATGTAGATCTCTAATAATTGTTCCTTTCTTTTATGCAGATAAAAAATCTTGCTGCAGAACTGTGTCTTGATAGAGCTGTCGTTCTTAAATTTCTTCGTGACCCTCCTCCAAATCTTGTAATGATGAGTGCTGCTTTACCTGATCAACCTGTTTCAACAATCTTGGAGCCTGCAGAGGAAACTGATACAACTGTTCCCATGGGCACAATCCCCATGAACACAGCACATGATGCAAAGCCAAAAACTGAGGCGAAACTGCCAGTTCATGTTATGCAGAATAACTGGTCTGCTCAAAAGAGACTGAAGAAAGTGCAGCTTGAAACTCTTGAACAAGTCTACAGACGTACAAAGCGCCCAACTGTGAGTAAAATTAGTTCCATTTTCAATCCATATATTGATAGAAGTTTTATTAATGTGCCCTCAAATAGATCAGGATATAGAATGTAAACCGACTGCAGTCTGCAGATGGCATCACTAGGTTATTATGATGTAGAACAGTTGTAGAAAATAGAAATGGAGAATGTGTAAGTTGACAGTTACTCGGACTAACGTGGTTATGAGTTAATCAGGACTCATCTGGTTCTAATTTTGTATTAGATAGGTTGTAGGTTAACCAGGACTCGCCTTCTATTTGGATTATATTGATTTAGACATTTTGATAAGTTTGTAATTTATTAAGCCCCTGTTTGAGCCCCAAATTTTTAAGCATAGATTTTGTAAAGAGTGATTTTTTTGGAGAATGTGTGGTTAAGAGAAAAATAAGTTTTAAAAAATGGGTCTCAAACAGGGGCTAAATGTCCCCTTGAATTTAGACTCGCTAGGATATAGGATTTCAATGTATTGTGATTATTGAATTGCTGATATATTGAAATTGTCCCCAAATTTTCTTCTTGCTCTTCTTCCTCTTTCTATCTATCTTCTCTATTTCTCTCTTATTCTCTCTATTTAAAAAAAAAAAGTGAGAAGCACAGGAAGTTGAAATTTGTTGAAATGTTATCCAGGACTATGATGATAAAGTTAACTGAGGGAATGGCCTAACACTACAAAGCATTGTCAGCTGTTGTATTTGATGAAGCAAAGGCTAGAATTAATTGCAAGCTTGCAATAAAATCTTGGGTATGACACATCCAACGCACTCCAAGTCACCTTCATTTATTGGAGCTAAGAGAATTAATTTATATTCAAAACATTATGCAGCAACTGCCAGTGATTTCGTGTTTGGCCATTCCCTGAGTTAGCTTCTTCAATATGGACTATAGTCCTGGCTAACTCTTATCTTAAATGCAATTCAACCTCCTATGCCTTTCTTTTGTACTAGGCTGCTTTTGTGGGTCTTTAATAGGTGGTCAGTTACTGAGTAATAGATTTTCTTTGTTGCTATAGAATTGAAATATCCTGCGTACAATAAACAAATTTCTATGACTTTCGAATTAATAATAACTGTGTATTACTCAATACAAGAAAAGTTCTTTGGCTAGAACTCAGTCAGACGAAAGAGCATGCTCCAATACCAAATTGATACAGAACTCAACGGAGAAAGAGAATAAGAGATGACCGAAAGAGGGAAAAAGAGAAATCGGGGAGAAGATTTTAAACGATCTATCAATAATCAATGTAAAACTGAAATCTTAGTTTCCCATTTATATAGCAAGAATCTAAACTAGCTCAAACTAAACGCGATGTAATCAAACTTTCAGTTGAACTCCCCCTATCATTGCCTTATGATTTATAACACTAAGGGGATTTCTAGTAAACTAGAGTCTTTTCAAAATATTAAACACTAATCTAATCCAAACGCATCAACAAAATACTAGTTTATCAAAACTAATAGAAGTTAGTTTAAAATAAACTCTATTGCTAATCTCATCTCTCCTAAAGCATTTTTATTCCCATAAAGCAGCTCTGAGAGCTGCAGTTCAACTTCTATCGGGATCAATTCTGGGCTGACACCAATTTATACATCTAAATTGTAGTGATTGTGAAGATACTTTATGCATGATTACATTAATTTTATTACCCAAAAATAGCATCAAAATATCTGTAGTAATTAATAAGAAAATAAATATGAAGTAATAAGTGCCAGTAGCAAATCATTAACATCTTCTGTTAGTAAATGGTTTTAGTTCAATGTATAGAACTCAGAGAATAATTCTTCATTTGTGTCATACACAGAGCCACAATAAATATATAATTTTCATTTTTACCCTTTTGGTTTGTGCGAAATTGCAATATTTTACATGAAGTTCTAATCATACTAGTCCTTGCCATTAACTTCAGCTAGAAATTCCTTTGATAAACAAAAAGAGGTCATTTTTCCTCCTCATCAAGCTCCAGTTTACGATCATACCCTTATCTGTAGGTATAAAAGAAAGACGAATATTCTGATTGAAAAATGTACTTCTTCAGTTTCTTAGTTATGAAAACAGAAAATTGAAAGGAGATAGCAATGAAAAAGGAGAAAATGAATGAAAAGACCCTTTTTTCTCCCTCCCTTGTTCCATCCTGCTTGCCTTTTCATCTCCTCGCAGCATGCCAGTCCCTAGATCCTACTCACGACTTCACCAAAAAAATTCTGAAAATATTGGTATAGAAACTAATTATGAATTTATGATGACCAACTACACAAGATTTGGGTTGTGCTATTTTTTTCAAATTTTATAATTACAAACCTGTTTAACTAATTTGTAACTATGGTTGTTTAGGACTCAAATTTGATTTTTGGATCTGATTATCTTTACATGAGATCTTAGAGGCTGAGTGACACATTTTTTTTATGTAATTTTAATCTTCAACATTAAGCTTATGTAATTTTCACTATGGGTTCAATGCAGAATGCCATGATTAGCAGCATTGTGCACGTGACAAATCTACCTCGGAAAAAAGTTGTAAAATGGTTTGAAGATAGACGGGCTGAAGACGGGGTTCCTGACTCTCGCGTTCCTTATCAACGTTCTGCTCCTGAGACTGTCTTCACCAGTTAACATATTCTGTTTTCTCCCTTGTAATTTGTAGTCGGCTTTAGTTTGTAGATAAAACCAAATTCAAACTACACCTGGTTTTTCATGATATTCAAATTTCTCAATTTCCTTTTAGACACCAAGTTATATTAACCTTAGTTTTGCCTCAGAGGCCCTTTATATTGCTTACCAAAACTGGTTATTTTGGTTTTCCATTCATCATCCTATATGTTAATTTATCTCGCAATGATAAGCTGGTTTGATTTTACAACAATCTTGTGTGTTTGTGTGCATGTTTCTACTGGCATTTTCCTTTCAAGTATTACATTCCTGTGAATTATCATTTCATATAATGGTTTTTTTTCTTTGAAAGAGAACATATTGTAGGTCATGAACAAGGCCTATTATGCTCTCATCGTCTTATGCATATGATAATATGTGGTATAGTTTTATGCCTTTGGTTGTCTTATTTTCAGAATGATGCTCTTGTTTTTCAAATTTTAAGCTGATGGAAACAAGAAATTGAAAATTTCAAAGCCAACCGTTGACGAGATGAATTACAAAATATTGGTTTAAATTGCATAAATAGGAGAGCTGATTTTAAAATTGTAAGTTGTGTCATGTAAAATAGGAAATATTGTATTAAATAAAGCTTATTGAGATAAATAAAACACCATATTTTGAGCTATGACCAAGAATTGAAGTATAGTTATCGAATCATCACGGCATGCATGTTGGATTGGACATGCCTGTTTATGACATGGTGTCGTATTTCTTTAATTCAATTTGATTTTGTTTAATCCAACGTAATAAATATATTGAAAAATCAATAATTCATAGTCATGTCGTCGAATTACATTTAGCACAATGCTCAAAAATAATTAGCACGCTCAAATTGGAAATTTGAGGGATATGGGAACGCAAGATTTAATTTTAGGTTGTTTAAGTTACTTTCTCTTTAAATGTGATGATGATGATGATGATCATGATGATGATGATNATGATGATGATCATGATGATAATGCAAAATTTAAAATTTTAACTAATTTTTTTCTTTGTTTTACGTCCGTAACTCTCACTCGGCCCAGCTTGGGCGAGAATATGAAATCTCGGGTTACTAATTGGTGTCTCTCGGCTAATCTTCGCCTTTTTCAGTGGTCGATTTAAAGCATTCAACGGTTCTTTGCCGCCTTTCTTTTTCAAGATTGAGCTTGTTCAATTGAAGCTTCCTCACATTCCACCATTTTTCCCCATTTTTTGAGGTTTCTTTTCATTGATTGAGTTGTCGCACTCAAATTAGTTGTCCCACAAAATAAATAGTATGATGAGAGTTCAATCCTAACTGATTGACTTGTAACTTTTGATTGTTGGATAACAAATAAAGGGGTTTAGATCAATATATGCACAAAACTNAGGAAATCGATTAAGAGTTATGCTACATGTACACAATTTGGATTACCTAAGGGTGTCCACCCTCTCATATGGGGTGGATCCCACGTGCATAATTTTTTTGTTTATTCATGTGGGGTCCACCCGATGTGAGAGGGTGGACACTCTTAGGTAATCCAAATCATGTACAAGTTGTGTTTTCCATCGAGTAATAGAATCTATATCATGAATTTGTACATCAATGTACAAATAAAATTTCTCTATCATACCTATAGGGCCCAACCAATACAAGTTACAAAATACAAAACAAGTTTTCACAAAAAATCAACCACCACACACAGATCCAGTATTATGGCCTTTTTGCTTATTCTTCATTTTACAATTTTCTCTTTCCCTCAGCATATAAAAGTCCTAAAAACCATGCATATTTTCACATCAAATCCAGTAACGATTTCCATTTATGGCTTCTTTGCAGAGATCTTCAAAATCATTCAGAAGGCAAGGCTCATCAGGTTCAGTTTGGAATGAAAAAATAGCTGAGAAATTGAATCAAGTGAAAAACGCAGAGCTCAGGCATTGCCAGAGTACTGGTGGTGGTGGAATGGCGGAAGCACCACCAGTTTATATGCGCAGTTTATCAGCTCCGACAACAAAACCGCTGTTGCTGGAATCAGTTAGAAATGGATTTGCCGGCGGTGGCAACGCAAATGAACATGAAGAGAAGCCTAAGTTATGAAAACCTGCCTACCGAAAAGTTTTTCTTATATAAGAAGATTTTACAAGTTCTTGTGTGTATTTTCAATTTAGCTTTGAAAAGATAAAATAAAAAAGGTTTATATATTTAACTTCAGGTTTGTAACAAAGATAAGCTACAACTATTTTTTATAATAAAAACTCAGGTTTCTACGAGGCACTGTAATAGTTTATGCACATGGAAAATATTCTTGCGTTCTATCCATTCCGATCCCTTACAAAGACAGAGAACCAATGCATTCCATGAATGACAGTCGGGAAGAATACCATTGTCGACCATTTGCAGAAGCAACATCGAAGCTTTTTGAACGTTGCCTTCACTACATAACGCATTGAGTAAAATACCGTAGCTTTTAGAATCAGGCAAACATCCTCTTTCCATCACGTCATCCATGAACTTCAAAGCGCTCCCAATGTTTCCCTGCCTGCAGAACCCACCGATTAAGGCATTAAAAGTCGATGCAACAGGAAAATAACCGACACTCATCATCCCATTCACTAGCTCGACAGCTTCCTTCATACATCCATTTTGGCAAAATCCCTGAACTAAACTTGCATAAATTAGAGCACTTGGAAAACTATATTCTTCAATCATCTTATCAAAAAGATTCTTTGCTTCCCTCATACTACCCTCTTGACAGAAATCAAGTATCCTCAAACTCCTATCCACAGCCTTAGGAAACAAATTTCTCATGTCTTTTAGAAAATCTAGTGCTTCATCCAAACAGTTGTCTTTGTATAAACCGTATATAATGCTATTATAAGGCCTGAGGCGACTGATAGAAACTCCTCCACTCTCTCCCATCAATTCCAAGATCTTAAACCCATCTTGCATCCTTCCACCAGAACACAAACCATAAATTAATGTATCGTAGGTGTCAAAGTTCCAAATTAAGCCGACTCTTTTCATTTCGTGAAACATGTCAAGAGCTGAATCCAACATCCTGGATTCACAGAAACCAGAGATCAAGGCATTGTATGTCTCAGTGTTCGGCAGACATCCCTTTATCTCCATTTCCTTAAGAAAACGACACCCCACTCTAACTTTCCCTATTCTGACAAAACCATTGATCAGAGTATTATAAGTCACAACATCAATCGTCCCTCCTTTCTCCTCCATTCTCTCTACAATCTCAACTGCCTCGGAAACCCGCCCTGCATTGCATAGAATGTCAATCACCTTAGTCAGAGGAACAACATCCGGCACAAACCCATTACTAAAGCACTTTTGGATCATAGTAAGAGCCTGCACAATATTATTCTCGTTACTATATGCTGATATCAAAATATTGAAAGTCACGTCATTAAATTCCTTCATTTCACCCATTAAGCTCCTAGCTCTCCCAACCTTGCCATTCTTGCAAAGAGCATTGATCAACGTGTTATAGACAACGGCATTTGGCTTCATGCCACGAGTCTTCATTACTTGCAGAAGCTTAAACCCATCACCAATTCTATTTGTCAAGCAAAGCCCTTTCATCAAAATTCCGTAAGTGTAATCATCACCCTGAACCCCATTCCGCATCATTTTCACCCTGTAGAACTCTCTTGCAACGTCAATATCTTCCTTGACAAGAATGTCAAGAATTGAATTGAACAGTTTCAAAGATGGAGGGCCCTTTCCAAACATGGAAACCAAGTCAAGTACGCCGATCACTTCCCGTGTCATTTTAACCCTGCCAAGACTGCGTACTATGGTGACGAAAATGTCATCATCCGGAGGCAAACCAATTGACTTCGGCATTTCGTCAAGCACTTGATTGACAATGTCGAATTGCCGGAAAGTGCAAAGCTTGTGGATCAAGACTCTGTAGGTGGATAGATTGTGAGTGAAATTGGCGAGTCTGGATGCCCATCTGAAGGTCTCGAGAGCTTGGCTTGCAGATTTTTGATCTAAAATGAGATGGGCTATTTGCTTGTGGGTGGGGACTGGGACAGTGCTGGTTGAGATGGGTTTTGATCCATTGTGAGGTAGAAGTGATTGTTTGTTGACTTTTTTGTTTAAGGGTTTTAAAAGGTTGATGTAGATGTTGGGCATGGAGCTGTTTATAGTTTAAAAATGCATCAGCACCAATTATCCACTCGCACTTGAAAGATTATCCATTGCCCGCTGTTGGAAAAAAAAAAATAAAAAATGAAAGCAAGATAATGGAGAATGCAGCGTCCAGCACATTGAAGACAGAATAGCTCGGTTGGGAAATTTATCGAACACCTGAAACGCTGATCTTGAAAAAAATCGCCTCCGCTGGAACAATTTAGATGAAACAGCTAATTGATGGCGTTGAAAGGAAATGATGGGAAGGCAAGTACGTCAAATTCCTGGTAAATCAAGAACAATTGCAGAAAATTACAAGATTATTAATATTTTTTGTATTTAGAAAATTATTTATAGAAAAATCCTGCTCCCATGGAATACGAATTTAAACAAACAATGTTCCTACATCAAAACTATTTATAAGTTTGACTTTAATTTATTAGTTTATCCATAGGGACATTTGTCAAATTGGCCTCGTTGACCAAACATTTTAAACCTTTTGTAAAATTATCAATTTTATCCTTAATGATATATGTTTTATTTATTACAGTGTATATTCTTTCTTTATAAATGATTTTGACAATTGACATATTATATTCTTATATTTTCAATTCTATCCAATAAATCTATCATTTGATCTACTAGATTAGCATAATCTATAATCTTTTATTCATATTCTATTATAAGTTTTTTATATTCCTCAAATGGTCTATTTCTATTTTCTAGTTGGGATCTAATATTTTTTATTTTTTCTAACATTCTTTCTAACAAATTATCTAATCGTTTAACTGTATATCCTAGCATTTTTATTCTATATTTCTTCCTTCTTGGTTTTTAATAAATAATTCATTTCTAAGTTGTAGTATATTGGGGTAATCTTCAATATATCTTATTAACTTTTTATCAAACTCTTCAATTGATATACTTATGGTTTCATCATACTCTTTTGTTTTATTAAGTTCTTGGTAAATAAATCTCATTTTATCGAACAATCTTATCTAACAAATTATCTAATTATTTAACTGTATATCCACAATATAATAATTCAAACATTATGAATGAGCATTCAAATTTAAACATTATGAACATGAATATGATCATTGAAATAATTGATCCCTACGATTCTGTAAGATCTAAGAAGAATTATTTCTAAATTTAACAAAAATAATAGTTTTACCTTAATTCTAATCTTTAAGTTTTTCTCCTTAGAATCAAGTAAACTTCAGGCTCCGAATATACAAACTGTTCCCTCAAGCGGCCTTCTGCCTTAATAGGGTT